TTAGACAACTTTTCTTCCCTTGTATTCAGTTTCCAGACCCTAGAGAAGCAAAACTTCACCCTTTGGAGTATCCACTCTCTATCACGCCTGTTTATTAACGCAGATCACTGTTGAGCTCCTTCTAAGAAGGTTTGGTCTCTGAGTGCTTAGAAGAATCCACTGATCCATGACACTTAGGTTACAGATACTCCACAGAAAGCTCCTGTTTCAATAGACATGTTGAGCTAAAGATAGTGTTTGGGAATCAGGGGAGGCAGTGCACCGGTGGAAAGGTAGGATTAACACATAGAGTTGATAGCACAAATAAAGCTTCCTTATGCTTACAATTTAAGGTAGAACCTTTCTGCTTCCAGCTCTGCTTCTTTAGACACTCTTAGCATTACTGGTTTCCTTCCATAACTCTACACCTCAAGGCTGGAGAAGAAGAAGGTCCTCTTCTGAGAAACACCCCCCACCCCCCAAGTGAAGCCATGGCAAGTATTCTCAGATGTGGGCAATGCGCATGCATATTGTCTGCAGTTTGGTTTGCATCATTCAGAGAACAGAAACTACTGGATGTATTTATCCTACAGGAAATCTATGACTTCTGTTTGTCTGCTTACTTGGTCTTCTACTTCCCAACAATCCCAATTCTCCCCATTACTGTGGAGCAGGACAGCGGTTGACCCGTCTGAGGATCTTATTTCCTTAAGTGATTATCAGTTGCCTTCATGAAGAGATAAAAAGTAGATGAAGACTCCGCAGAACCTTCCAGCACTGCTGCCCTAGGCCCTCTCTCCCCAGTCCCAGACTGTGGTTGCTGGCTCAAGTCCTGGCCTAGATCCTGACCCTTGGATGAGGCAACGTTGTATGGCTCCGTGGCCATGCATGTTGGCTCTTGTTTTCACAGGCTTTCATTCTTATCACTTTATATGTGGCTTTTGGCTCAGTCCCAAATCTCTATCTAGTTTATTCGGCTTCTGGCTGCTTTGAGCCAAATACCAGCCTCCCAACTGGGCCCAGCAACTCAGAGCCCAACCCCAGCCACTGGACCACTTTTCTCTGCCCCCAATCCCTACAGACGGGGTTTTCTTAGATAACACCTCCCAACTGTCATCTAAATACTCTTCCAAGAATGAATCCTAAATCTTTGACAAGGTGAAAGTTAAGAACTCTTAGCTAATAGAGTACCTTTCGGGAACTATGTGTTTTTCCCCCCAAACAACAGCCAATATTTCAATTCTCCACACCAACTGGGGTGCCTGATAATTCAATTCAATTCTGACACTAACTACCTAAAGTTAATATAGATCCAGCAGGTTAAAGTCTCAGTCCCACAAGACTGTCTTCTTTTCAGACACGAGCTGCACGCAGAATCTCCAGACTAACCACACTTTGTCCCAGCCAACTACAAATGTGGGGCTTCCTGCAACCTCCCTTCTCAGGTTCCACAATCTTCTAGAACAACTCACAGAACTCAGGAAAGCATTTATGTTTACTGGTTTACTGTAAAGGATACAACATAAAGACAGCCAGATAGAGGTACATCAGACAAGGCATCGGGGGATGGGTGCAGGATAGAGTTTTAATGCCCTTTTAGGATGCTCCATTCTCCTAGCACATCCATGTGTTCACCAACAAAGAAGCTCCCAGAACTCCACCGTTTGAAGTTTTTATGTCAGCACCATACTTTCTTGATGATTACAGCTTTGTAAGACAGCTGGAGGTCTGGAATTGCCATGCGTCCAGCATTGGTTTTCTTTTTCAACATCACTTTGGCTATTTAGGGTCTTCTCTGGCTCCAAACACATTTTAGAATTGTTGGTCCTAGCTCGGTGAAGAATACTGGCATTATTTTGGTAGGACACGACAAGGATGTCCACTCTCACCACTGTTGTTCAGCGTAGTACTTGAAGTCCTAGCTTCAGTGATCAGACAACAAAAAGAAACGAAAGGCACAAAAATTGGCAAGCAGAAAGTAACACTTTCATTCTTCGCAGATGGCATGATACTCCACGTGGAAAACCCGAAAGATTCCACCAAAGATCTGCTAGAACTGATACATGAATTCAGGAAAGTCACAGGATATACAATCAACATAAAGAAATTGGTTGCATTTCTATACACCAATTATGAAGCAGCGAGAGAAATCAGGAATCTTTCCCATTTATATTTGCTCCAAAATCCATAAGATACCTAGGAACAAACCTAACCAAAGGGATAACAGATCTGTATGCTGAAAATTATAGGAAACTTATGAATGAAATGGAAAAAGACATCAATAAATGGAAAAACGTTCCATGCTCATGGACTGGAAGAACAAACACTGTTAAAATGTCTATACTACTCAAAGCAATCTACACACTCAAACCCTGTAGAAGTTTTTAGAGATGTGATTAATTGAACCTTTGACCACTGTGACCTAACTCCATCTCCAGCTTCTGTCCTTTCCAGGGGAGGTCAAAAAGTAGGGCTGAAGATTCCAGTCCTCAGATACCAGCTTGTCCTTTCTGGCAAGCAGCCCACATCTCAAAGCTATGTAGTTTCCCTCCTCCCATGAGTTATCTCAATAAAATACAAAAGGCACTCTCACCACTCAGGAAGGCTTTAGGAGCATTATTGTATCAGATATTGGGACAGAGACTAATTAAAAAAATATTATACCACAGGAACCTACTAAAAATTTTTTTTTTTTAATTTTTTTTCAACATTTTTTTTTTATTTATTTTTGGGACAGAGAGAGACAGAGCATGAACAGGGGAGGGGCAGAGAGAGAGGGAGACACAGAATCGGAAACAGGCTCCAGGCTCCGAGCCATCAGCCCAGAGCCTGACGCAGGGCTCGAACTCATGGACAGCGAGATCGTGACCTGGCTGAAGTCGGACGCTTAACCGACTGCGCCACCCAGGCGCCCCAGGAACCTACTAAAAATTTAAACTCATGGTGAATTCAACCTCGCCAAGATTCCGGAGAGGAATCTGTGTCACTGGTCAGAGGAGAAGTACTGCTCCAATTTGCAGGACCCTGGGGCTGCAAGAGCCAACAAGGGGCTTAGCTGAGGGGAACACAATTGTGGTGAACACAGGGATACTGTCAGTCTCCAAGATTTCCTGAGGGCTTATTGTCCTATTATATTCCAGATGCTAGTCAAAGCTGCGAGATTACACCTAGGAACAAGATAAAGCACCAGTCCTCCAGCAGCTGGGTTCTAGTTGCAGGAGGTGTGCAATTCTTGTGCTGTGTCTTCAGGTTGCCTTAGGAGAATCCGTCCAGCTGTAGGGTGAGGCATCTCAGAAGGAAAGGGTGGGTGAGAGGAGCACGAGCCGTAGGTTAGTGCCAGGAACTGAAAGAGAAGGTACCGAATCCATTAATGGGACCTAGAGCGACCTCACTGTGGGACTTGGATGTCCAAGACATGGATCTCCATCCCCTCTGCCAGAAAAGCCAAACCGCAGGATGCCCACATGAGCTTGGACCCCTCTAGGGACAACTGCCACCCATCAGATGAAGAACACTCCTGAGGAAAGGGGGGCACCAACTCCACCATCTGTCCAGGTCTCATACCCCTTCCTTGTTCTCACATCACTGAGATCATACTGGCCTGTTCCTTCAACAAATGAAGCACATTCTTGACCTGGGACATTTGCATCAAACAGTTTCCTTCCGATACTCTCCCCCCACCAATATTCAAGTAGTTCACTCACACATTGTATTTAGATCTTGACTCAAGCATGGCCCAGAGCATCGTTCCCTGCCTACCATGTATCAAGTATACTCTCCTCCCCCATACAACATATCCCTACACTCTCACTCCTGGCTTCCTTTTCACATTACAACTTGATTTATATCTATTTGCACCATCTACCTATTTCTAGGACGACTTTATCTGGAAAGTTTTGTGTTTATTTTGTTTGTGAGCATAGTAGCTAACACAATATACTTACCTATCTGATAAATGATAGTGGTTCTCATGTATATAGATAGTTGTGTCCTATGCAATGTGACTCAGGGACTCTGGTCAAAGACTACTGTGCTAAAGAAGTGATCATGGCTTCTTACAGTCCATCCATAGGGTGGTTGGTGGCCTGAGAGGTTTGCTTCACTAGAGCTATGGTACCCATAACATCTTTTGTCTTTTGGGTTGAAATGGGAGATACTGAGACAGAGGACACTGACAGGGAGTATCTGTGGAAAAGCAATTTCTAGATCCCAGTAGAGTGTGGGTGTATAAGTTTCTTCTGCTGAGGGCATAAAAAGATTACCCAAGAGTTTCGGTGCTTGGAAAGCACTGGGTCATGAGGCCCAGAGGTACTATGGTTCCTCCAGCTTTTTTTTTTTTTTTGAAACCCTCCAGAGCTTGTACAAATGGCTGAGAATCCAGTTTTCCTTACATAACGTGTCTCTCTACACTAAACCCTCCATGTTTTGAGTAAATTGAAAGGGTCTCTTGTTTCTTGAAAACCAAGAAATCCTAACAACCCTTTCATGCTTTATGTGGGTTTTCAGGCTTGGTAATACCAAGATATGTTTGGGTTACAGAGAGAAGTAGAGGCAATGAATAAAGAGAGAAAATCTGAATTAGAGGGGAGGAAGTTAATGAACATCTTGAGGACCTGGCACATACTATTAATTGTGGGTGTAAATGATCACATTTGATTTTCACATACATGCGGCTAGGATGGTTTTGGAAATAAAAAGAACGCCCTACAAACTGGCTTCACGAATAGGGGAATCTATCTCATGTATGGGGAGTCCAGGTCTAGTGTGGGTACAGAGCATGATCAGGGACTGAGCTTTAGCTTTGTCCTGTTCTTTCGGCCCTATCTGGTGTGACAGCTTCATCCTCAGGGCAGCTACCTCTTTGGTCATTTGATAGGTTGCAGAATTTCTGAGGCAGCAGGCTTTCAGGGGAGGCAAGGGATAGGGCTACTACCCTACATCACAGCCAGCCTTTACCTACCTCAAGCTCTGGGTTTTTGAACTCCTTGCTCTACACGGGGACAAGATGACCATTATTTACTGTGATGGCTCAAGTATTCTTGTATGTGGGGGGTCTTCTCTGCCCCTTCGCGTTACAGAAGTCGCATGGGGTAGAACTGGATACTCGAATCAAAGACGGATTCTTTTTGAAAGAAGGAAGTGAGGAAGGGATATATCATCACCATTTCACAGATGAGAAAATTGAGACCCGGTAAGATTACATATCGTGTTCATACAATAGTAATTGACCATATGATTAAATGTTAGATTGACAGTTCGGTCTATTCTAAGGCTTGTATTTATCGCATAAGGGAAAAAGTAAGGAGGGGGCAAGAGAGGAGGGGGAATAAAAGAGGGAAAAATAAGAGACGGAGAACAAGCAAGAAGTAAGCAAGTCACAAGCTTCTTTCCCCAGCAGGCCTTGCTATGCACCCGGGCCAGCTTAAGAACCAACTGTCACCATGTGGTTTTCCAGTTCATTACTCCTTGGCATCAGCAAGTTCTCATTTGTGAGAAGAAAACAATGACTTTAAAAGGCTCATAAAGATTCTTGGACATCAACAGAGGCTTCCTCAAACATAATTTCATTACGTTTGGAGAAAAGCGAATCTGCTTTTTTCGAGAGACAATCTTTGCTTGCAGATATATTAATTTACAAATGAACAGAAAACAAGTGTCCTGAGGTTGGCTAACCTCCAGATATTAGAGGAAGAAAATCACTGGAGTCATTCAACTGAAGTCAAACATAACGGAGATTTCCATGCCCGACTTTTAAAGAAGCTTCCAGACTTATGATTTCGTTCTGAAGTTGGACCTCTTGGTACCTGAGACTAGTAATATTTTAAGAAGGAGGAAGTTTTCTTTCTGTCCTATGGGACAGCCTAACCTGTTTCTTTCTGCTAAGATATCATCATTACCTGGGTGTCATCGGTTGGGATTGAGTGTGGGCTGGGGATTGTCAGTGGGCCAACCCTGTGGGCCACAGTGCCAGAGCCAAGGGTGGTGTCCAATGGTGTGAGCATGTAGGCCTGATTGGGCAGGTGAGTTGCATTCACAAGGCTTTAGACGGCAGGTCTTACTCAACATTCAAAGTCAGACCTGCAGGTGGTTTGGCTGTTTTGGGGAGTCCCATATGTGACTAGTGTTGCAGGAACCAATGTTTCTCAGAACAAGTCTTAAAGGAGCCAGGTAGGTGTCCAGAGCTCTTGATAATTAGGACAAGATTCTGGGAACACGCTCTCATCAGAAGGTCTATGCTCTGAGCCAGAAGGATGAATATTAAGGACACCACTGCCCAGAGGGAATACTTCATATCAATGCCCAAACTCCTATTGTACCAATGCATTCACTAGTTCACTAGTTGGTAGCCAAATCTCCTTCCAGAGTCATCTGAATTTGAGCCTTACGCATATATTTTATTGGCTTCATCATGTGCTTCAGTTCCCTTCATTGTAAAATGGAGATTACACACCCAACTCATGTGATTTCTGTGAGTTGAGTTGTCTGGAGTAAAATAATGGAGATAAGCAAAACACTTAGAAGGTTGCATGACATATGACAAATAATAACAGTTAATAAGTAAAAAAATAAAAAAAATTCCTAGCAATTAATGTAATTACTAGTAACACCAAAACCTACGTATTAGTCCGCTTGAGATGCCATGGCAAAATAGCATAGACTGAGTCACTTAAATAACAACATTTGTTTCTCCCAGTTCTGAAAGCTGGACGTCCAAGATCAAGTTGTCATCTGACTCAGTGTTTTCTCAGGAGCCTTTTATGTGCTTACAGATGGCTGCCTTCTTGCTGTGCTCTCTCATGGCAGAAAGTGGGGGTTGGGGGTGGGGAAGAGAGAGAAAGAGAGAGGAAGCTCTCTTCTGTCTGTTTATATACGAGCACTAATTTTTATCAGAGAAGTGCTCTGGCCTCATAAACTATCTCTCGAAGGTCCTATCTCCTAATACTGAGGAGTAGGAATTCAACATATGAATTTTTGGAGTACACAAACATTCAGTGCATAACTACATATATACACACATATACACATAAATGTCCCTACACTACACCTTGACAAAGACTATCGGGTTTTCCAAGCCTTCCAAAGGTGCTTAGCATGATAAAATGGTATTATAAGTGGAAGGATTAATCCCATCTAAAAGGCTGCACTTGAGCCTATGTTCTCCAGAATTCCCTCCAGGGATTTGCCAAAGTTAGCGTGAGCTACATGACACTAGTTGCAAATCCACATTGAGTAGTCTAGAAGCATGACTGCCTGGAAGAAACTTTGCACTGAGAAATGGCAGAAGCTCCTTACTCTGGTAATCTATGCAACTTGTCCTGGAATTGCTTTGGAAAACATTCGTGCTTCAATTGCCTTATTTTATTGGTCATAAAGTTGGCTCATTCCAACTGGAAAGTAGGTGTAGAAAAGGAACAACATTTGTTGTGGAAATCACCCCCCACTCAGGACAATTGCCATCTTCTTCCTTTTCTATTACTTGAATTAGTAAGTTATTTTCTCTCAGGAAGCATTTTTAGTTATCATTTAGTTACCTGTCTATGGTAAACATTATTAATATTTCACAAAAATATTTTCTACAAAATCCTAAAGAAACCACAACATCTCTTAACACAGAGCTCCACACAGACTACTGCCAATGGACACTTGCAAACCAGCACACAACAAATTTCCTATATATGTTGAAGTACTTACTGATGGGCCTGGAGGATAAGCACTTCACATGTTGGATTTGGTGAAGTCTCAGAGATTTCAGAAATGTCTGGATCAATGGAAAGATCAGTGGAAAGATTACAGGTATTAGAATTAGATAATTACTTGAATCCTGATTGTCTCACATCTGAACACTATGGCTTTGAGTAAATCAAGGCAATTATTTATGACTAAGTTGTTTCATATGACGGTAAGAAAAAAAAATATTACCTACTCACAGATGTGGTCTTAGGTGATATTGTTTGCCAAGACTTTGGTACGAGAGAGTATAGATAAATATCAGTTATTTTCTACCATGAGCTACTCTTGTATCTGGTGTGGGCTAAGTTTTTATCTCTGGTAAAAAATTAATCGAACATTTCTAGACTATGATGACCAAATCTACACAAAACTTTCTATTACTATTGATATTTTGAAGAAAGGTCCAATTCTGGTAATATCTGAGTTACTTTTATTGGACTTACCCTAATGGCAGTAACAATTACAACTCTGGAAGAAAAAATTCAATGTTTTGCAGTGTTGGACAGCAAGCAAAAGTAGGCAGATATGCATCTTGAAATGAGAGATAAATTAGATGAGTTCTACATTTAGCCAGCTTTTTCTGCATAGATGTTGGGGAAGAAAACTCAGACATAAAAGAATAATAGTGCTACTGGGCAAAAGAGAAAGAAATGTGAACTTAGGACTGGAAATTGATGGGAATTTGAATGGAATGAAATGACCCAAATATAGGAAGCCCCAAATCTTTGACCAAGAGTTTAGTAAAAGCTATGAACTTTTTATGGAAAACACAGAAGCACTACGCCAAAAGAACACGGACTACATCTAAGGACTAAGCAAACAAACCACCACCACCACCAACAAAAATAAACTGGCCTTAGAAAGGCACAAATCCATTCCAAGGTGATCTTCTAGTAATTTAATTGCCTGCCACGGAAACCAAAGCAAACCAAACAACAACAAAAACTTCATTATTATGAGGAACATAACAAAATCCAGACTGTCTACATGAATCCACAATATCATGTATACAATGAAAATTCACTGAACATACCAAGAAGAGGGAAATATGGTTAACAATCAAGAGAAAATATAGACAAGAGAAGCAGACTGACAGATGACTGGAGTATTAGATTAATGGAGAAGGACTTTAATACAGATGTTACAACGATCTTAAAGAAATTACAAAAAAGAAGAGAGTAAAAGAATCAGTAAACACTTTAGCATTCTGAGGAGACACATAAAAACTATAAGAAATAACCTAATGAAAATTTTGGAATAGAAAAACACAATATATAAAGCAATAGCTCAATAACTGACCTAAAAGCAGTTTGAATACATCAGGGAAAGACTTGTGAACAGATCAGTATAATGTGAAGCCCAGAAAAAAGAAAATATTAAAATATTTAAACACAGCTTCAGAAACATGTGGAATGACATGAAATTGTCTACTACGGATGTAGTTAAAGTCCCAAAGGAAGAGGAGAAAGAAAGGTGGACAAATAAATGAAGAAATAAATAATGGCCAGAAATATTCAAATTTGGAGGAAAAATAAATGAATTCACAGGCCCAAGAAGCTCAGGAAATCCTAAGCAGATAGCATAGTCAAAGTTCTGCAAACAATAAATAAAGAGAAAATCATAGAGTGCCCACAGGAAAATAAATACTAATTACAGGGGAAAAAATACAATAATCAAGAGCGACTTTTAAATTTTTTTTTTCAACGTTTATTTATTTTTGGGACAGGGAGAGACAGAGCATGAATGGGGGAGGGTCACAGAGAGAGGGAGACAGAGAATCGGAAACAGGCTCCAGGCTCCGAGCCATCAGCCCAGAGCCTGACGCGGGGCTCGAACTCACAGACCGCGAGATCGTGACCTGGCTGAAGTCGGACGCTTAACCAACTGCGCCACCCAGGCGCCCCTCAAGAGCGACTTTTAATTAGATATGATGGAGGTCAGGAGGCTCTGAAATTGAATCTTTAAAGTGCCGAAAAAAGATCTGTCAATTCAGATTTCCATATCTAGTAAAAATATCAGTCAAAAATAAAAGTATATTTAGGATATTTCGTATTTTTAAAAAATCTGAATAAACTCATCACTGGCAAACTCACAGAATAAGAAATGCTAAACACATTTCCTCAGGCAGAGGACAATAATATCAGGTGGAAATTCTGATTTCCACAGAGTAAGGAAGAATGCCAGAACTAGTATATATGTGGCAAAATAAAACTGAAAAATTTAAATCAATTTTTAATAACTTCGATAAATAATTGAATGTGTAAAGCAAAAATGAGATAAATAATGTGACATTTTACAACACAGGCAGAAGTAAAATGTATGACAACAGCAGCAGAAGAATGAGAAAAGGAACATAGACTATGGCATTATATGGTTCTTACCCTATATTTACAGTTATACAGTATTTTAAAAAGACCAGGGGAAGTTATTGCAAGAATAATGAAGATAATAAAAAATAAAATATAGAGATAAGGTCAGTAGATGCTAATTAAAAAATGGACTAATAACAAATATTCAATTAATTAGAAAAACAGGCATGGGGAAGCGAAACAAAACAGATGGGACAGATGGAAAACAAATAGAAGTATATTTAAATCTAATGATGCTGGGGTGTCTGGGTGGCTCATTTGATTAAGCCTCCAACTTGGGCTCAGGTCATGAACTCACAGCCTGTGAGTTCAAGCCCCGCATCGGGCTCTGTGCTGACAGCTCAGAGCCTGGAGCCTGCTTCGGATTCTGTGTGTGTGTCTCTCTCTCTCTGCCCCTCCCCCACTTGCACTCCATCTTTCTCTCTCCCTCTCTCCCTCTCTCTCTCAAAAATAAATAAACATTAAAAAAATCTAACCATGCTGATAATTACACATAAATACAAAACCAACCAACCAACCAAATAAAAAGTAAATATTCTCATAATAGATACAAAATAGATAATATACATAAAAATATATAGTTGGTCTTCTCACAAAAACCAACTTTATACTGACAAAGAAACATTTCAAATATGAAGATGCTAAGAGATGAAAAGGAAATAGAGAGAACAAATGAAAATGAAACAGAAATATTTAAATATGTGAATGACAGCTAAAGTAGTGCTCGGAGGAAAATTTTTAGGGTCAAATTCTGATACTAGAAATGAAGAGAGTTATAAAATTAGTGATCGAAACTTCCATCTTAAAAAAAAAAACTAGAACAAGAACAGTAACTAAGGCAAAGTAAGAAGTAACAACTAGGGGTGCCTAGGTGACTTAGTTGGTTGAGCGTCTGGCTTTGGCTCAGGTCATGATCTCACAGTTTGCGAGTTCCAGCCCCACCTCAGCTCTGTGCTGACAGCTCAGAGCCTGGAGCCTGCTTCAGATTCTGTGTCTCCCTCTCTCTCTGCCTCTTCCCCGCTCATGCTCTGTCTCTCTGTCTCTCTCTCTCTCTCTTTCTCTCTCTCTCTCTCTCAAAGATAAATGTTAAAAACAAAGAAGTAAAAACTAAAAGCCGATAAATATATATGAATACCAATATCAGAAATAAAAAGTAAGAAATGTTAAATACCCTGTAGTTCTATGAGCATCAAGAGAATAATAAGAAAATAAATGGAACAACTTAATTACAATTCAGTTGACATTTGGAAGAGATAGGCAGTATTTTGAAAGACAAAACTATCAAAGCTTACAAAAGAAGGAACAGAAAACTTGACTATGTCTACGTTTATTGGATCAATTGAATAAATATTTCAAAATTTCCACAAAGAAAATTCTGGATCAACACTATTACACCGATTAATTTTACCAAACATTAAGTTTACAATTAACAACTCTAGACACGCCGTCTTAGAAAATAGGAGAGAAACAAACATTGTCAATTCATTTTATTATCTCAGAATTAATCTGATAAATGAAGCAGACAAAAATATTACCAAACAAGAGTGATTAACCCAGAAGCATAGAAGTGAAAATTCATAACAATACTTTTTTGAAAATAAAATCCAGCAAAGAGCAATACAACATGAGCAAGAGGGATTTATTTTAAGAATGCAAGGTTGGTTTAATATTTGAAAACCAATTAATAAAATTTACCACATGCAGGACAAAGGATTTAATTAAACTCAGTAGGCACTCATGATTAATTTTTTAAATCCTTCAACAAATTAGAAATACAAAGAAACTTCCTTAATCTATAAAGGGCTTTTATGAAAATACTTCCATACTAAGTACATAACTAAGGTAATATTTACTTAATGAATTATTGATTGTTTTACTATTAAGATTAGAAATACAATAAGGATGTTCACTTTTAGCTCTCCTTTTCAACATTATACCGTGGGTCCTTGCATGTACTGGGCCTGAAAAATAAATAAGTGATGGGGCGCCTGGGTGGCGCAGTCGGTTAAGCGTCCGACTTCAGCCAGGTCACGATCTCGCGGTCCGTGAGTTCGAGCCCCGCGTCGGGCTCTGGGCTGATGGCTCAGAGCCTGGAGCCTGTTTCCGATTCTGTGTCTCCCTCTCTCTCTGCCCCTCCCCCATTCATGCTCTGTCTCTCTCTGTCCCAAAAATAAATAAACGTTGAAAAAAAGAAAAATAAATAAGTGCCTTTAAGATGAGCACAAAAGAAGTTAAATTGTCTTAATTCATAGATAACTTGATTCTTGGTATAAATAATCCTAAAAAATCTAAAACCAAATAAAACCCCCAAAATACTTGCATTAAATTTTTTTAATGTTATTTTTAATGTTTATTTATTTTTGACAGAGAGAGAGAGAGAGAGAGAGAGAGAGAGAGAGTGCGTGCGCACATGAATGGGGGAGGGGCAGAGAGAGAGGGAGACACAGAATCTGAAATAGGCTCCAGGCTCTGAGCTGTCAGCACAGAGCCCGATGTGGGGCTCGAACTCACAGACAGTGAGATCATGACCCGAGCTGAAGTCAAATGCTCAACTGACTGAGTCACCCAGGAACCCCCAAAGTACTTGCATTAATAGGAAAATTTAGCAAGGTCTCAGGGTACAAGGTCAAACTAAGACATTTGGATTTCTATATATTTGAAAGAAACAATTAGAAAATAAGATTTGATAATCACCATTTATAATAGCATCAACATACAAAATATATGCAAATATATTTTCCAATAACAAGCAAGACTTTTACTTGGAAAACTGACAAACATTACTGAGAAACCTAAGTAAATGGAGAGATGTACTATACTCATGGATGGGAAGACCCATTGATGTGCCAATTCTCTTCAAATTGACTGACAGATC